TTCTGTATGCGGAAGCTCGGGGGTCATCGTCATCGTCGTCCTCGTCGTCCTCATTTGTAGGGTCCTTCCCAGCGCTATGATATGGTGGTGTACGTACTACGAAAGTGGCACCTGTCACCGGCTGAGAAGAGTCGGCTGGTGTTCTCAAAGAGCCAGAAGACGTGCCACCCGACTGCGCCGGGACTGCCGGTTCCACCCAAGGAGTGTCCATGCAGCTCAGTTTCTGAGCTAGCTTCCTGCAGCTCCGCTTCACCTTCTGCATAAATAGACATTAAAGTTAGTGCATTTCCCAAACGCATATACACTAAAGAAACATTTTTGCAATGGAAAAGTTTATGTTTACCTCCACAAAAGCCTCGAGAACGCCTGGCCCTAGCCCTCTAGACTCATGAAGCCGAAATGCTGCTTCGTTGGACAGCCTTGACAATTGTGTCATCTGGGTACAAAAACACGGTTGGATAGTTTTAGTACACATACTTAATACCAAATGGATAACAAATTGTACCATTCGAGTATCTTACCACGTATCTTTGAAGCGGGGCTCTCTGTAGTTGTGTGTCGTCTCTAGTGGCAACGTCGTACACATCTTCGATCACATCTTCCTCGTCGTCCTTGTCAATCGCCTCCTCAGTATACGGGGGCTTGATATGTGTCCTCGTAGACCTGTGAAGCCACCGTAAGTACTCGTCAAAGGTGTGTTGGTCATGTGGGGGACCCACATCGATCAGCTATCGGTCCCTGTTCTGCCACAACTGGATGTACGTGTTGTGTGTCACGCGCCAATCCTTGGTCTTATACCTCTTCCTGCGGTCATACCTGCAACAAAATGATTGTTAGTTATACCATACACACCTCTGAATTATAGCTTTGTTATTAATCGATAACGCACCCATGCAATTCTTGGTTGGTGGAGTAAATCGGTGGTAGGTAGCTTGTTATTCTTCCAAACTACCTGCAAACCCTGATGGGCAAGTGAATCTCGACCACATGAAAGAAAATAAGAGGAACGTTGCAGCGATACTCGTCTGACTCATCCCTAGTGACAGGACTCAGATAGTACTCAAGCTCCGAAGCATCCCAAGGACACCAATGCACCTGAACATTTTGTAATTGAGTTAGGTTGTGATATAGTGTACATCGAACAAGACACATGTATGATAGTAAAGAGAGCGTAACATGGTGCTGTGTCAGGACGTCGAGACCGTCCGTGTACTCCCTGTACTTGCGCCTCGCATTCCCTCTAACTAACTCTGCTTGCGTCTAGATATACAGAGCTATAGGGAGTGTATCCTGTCCATTCCAATGCTGCATTGAACACGATAATGAATTAGCCATTAATAATTTAATCATATGTAACTGCCTCGAAGAATATAGTGAACCGAAGTACTTACCGGTAAACCAGTAGCAAGGGGCCTCCCAACGGGCCATCGTTCTTAACACCAAACCTAGAGTAGGTAGGAGCAACCCCGAAGGTTCGCATACCCTGAGGTGCGACGGCAGGCAACGCATAGCTGTCGATACATCCATACCAAGACTACGTTGCCCCAGCTGTACGCCGCTATGTTATCCCACGGCTGACGTAGTATGTCAAGGAAGATCCAGCTGATGGTGTTGCCCGAGGCGTCTAGGAAGAGGAAAGCACCAAGGAAGTGCCAGAGCCACACTCTAGCGAATCTGTCGATCTGAGCCTCATCAACCTATGGGTCCAAGTAATCAAGGCGCTCTGTGATCCACGACGATGAAACATCGGAACTTTTCCTAAAATTCACCAAAGAAAATGAGACCCGATGGCTGTAGGAAAGCAATGCAAGTATTAAATAGGCTTGAATTGCTCACTTATTTTTTCTTGAAAACCTCATCATTCGGTGGAAGAAAGCTAATGAACTAAGCCACCAGCTCCCTCCAGTGATCGTTGTCAACTATACATGTCACTAGAAGTCCTTGATGTAGACAAGGCCCGATCTTCCGAAAGATATGATAGCGTCGATTGGTGGAGACTCGACGTTCACGATCTAAGCTTTGAACTAAGACTGATTCGGACCCCCGCAACCGTTACACCACTGCTCCGTTGGTTATCAACCACGTGAACACGATTAACCTCACCGAGAAGGCTTTCCTGCAAGCGAATCGAGAACACAAGTAAGAACGGGATGAACACAATCTGAAATTGCAAATAAATATGAAGCTTATGGAAACAAGGAGTTCAAGTCTTTATTCGAAAGGACTAATCGCCACAGGCGAACAAGATCAAGAACTGGGGCCCTGGTTCACAGCAAGCAACCTTGATGGCACAGTTGCAGCAAAACAACGTCTGTTTCACAAGGAAATCAAGAACTAAATAAAACCCAAACCCTAAGAAGAGCGACGACTGCTAATTATAGAGCCCAGTACATCACCCCCTGGATGCGCCCCCCCTAATGGGCTCTAAGACGATACACGGCCCAACGAACCAAAAGACGGTGTCGCAGCACCCTGGTAGATTCTGGATGCTGACTTGTTTCGACGATTTCCGTTGATTCCGAAGAGCTTTTGACGTGAGACCACTTGCATTGGCTTCCTTATCTAATTAGCTTTCCATCCATATGTGGATCGTCGAAAACAGAGCCTGTACGCGCCCGTGTGACTAATTTTATGATAGACTGGTCCTAAAACCCGAGATGGGCTCGAACTTGATTTGGGTCTCTACCTCGGTGACTCGAACTGGATGAGCTTCGGGCCTCCTTCTCGGTTAGGACAACCTCGCTGATCTTCTCGGCCTCTATCTTCAAGCATGGTCGTATGTATGGAGCTCATGTCCTTATCAGTCCCCCCAACCGAAGGCCAAAGATAGCCTTCATGTCCTGCATAGTCAAGGTCATCTCGCCGTAAGGTAGGTGGAACGTGTGGGTCTCAGGCCTTTACCTGTTATAAGAATAGAACGACTCCTCAAATTTGTTATAAGAATATTTACATACAATGAAGGCATTCGTACCTATCTACAGCTACAGTAAATAGTGCTGGGTCAAGGAGCGGAAGACCATAGTTGACAACATGGACAAGCTCGAGGAAGCTGGCACGCCGTATGTACGGCGCGTAACGCTCGTCCCACTAGTGCGCTCTAGTGTGCGTGACGGGCCTCAAAGGAGGCAAGGGCACATCTACGTCGGTGTTACTCAAGAAGTGTGCTCGGTGCGGCTTGTCGTACTCTACCTCAAAAAGGGGTACAACGGATGCTGCGTGGGAGGGAGCATCCTGTTACAAATTGATAAACAAAGGGTTAGAGTGTTCAAATTAACAATATTCAAATTAACATTATGTAGCATTACAAAATTTAAACTACTTGTTATGCAATAGGAACACAATATGAAAGCACATGTATATATTCAAAGTAACATTAACAGACATATTAAACAACTTCACTAGAAAAATAAGCAGCTTCTATGTATTCAAACGGACACAAACGTCATTAAAGCTAAGAGGTTCATCAAACCAATCCAAATCGCCGTATCACGCACTACTAAGTACCGACACTTGAAAACTAATATCTATACTGACAACCTTTACTACTATAAACTAACTAAATAATAAATATCTAATCAATCTCTAAATCCAAAGACCTAACTAACAGTAACATAAACCCTAACTACCTAACCAAACCTTAACTATACTACAACACACAACCTAAACCCTAAAAACTACCTAAATAAATAAACAAATTCACTAACCTAACTATCCTAAATCACTAACCCTAACTATCTTAAATCACTAACCCTAACTAAAATAACATTCATAATAACAAGAAATCAAGAGAGGGAGCTACATTGATATGAGTCGAAGTAGAGGAGGCGGCGCTGGCAGGTGAGGCGCCGCTGCCGGTTGATGGCGGCGGCACCTGGTGCAGGCGACGCGGCGGCGTTGGGTGGGCGCAGGCGGCGGCGGCGTTCGAGGGCAAGGTCGGGCGTAGTGGGGGCGTCGCGGGCTTTAATTGGGCCTTGTCGCGCCACCAACGATGGCGCGTCACAGCCGCGTCAAGATGGGTGGCGCGATAGGCCCTACCATGACGACGCCACGTTATCCTCCCGTAGCGTCACCATGCATGGTCATGACAATAGGCATAGCAAAAGTGTTAGTTTTGAAAAAAAAACGACATTAAATTTAAAATTAGTTTAAAAAAGTGTTAAAATAATAAAAAAATCATCGTAGCAACATCAGCCTAGAAAAACACTTGGGACTGAACTAAAAATCAGCCTATAAAAACATTTTGGACTGAACTAATATATCGTCACAAAAATAATACACTTCCCACCTCAGGACTTGAAATCATTACTTTTTAGTAATTAAATTAAAGTAAATGTTTTTAGAAAAAGGATGACACTAAATATATTTATCCGTAAAATGTAAAATCTTCACTTTGAGAAGCTCATAAGGTTAAATTTTTTTTGAAAGAATGAAGGTTGCAAAGAAGTGGGCGTTGTGCGATGCATCGAGGGCTCGAGGCTCGCGTTTGCGCTGCTATCGGCCGGGCCCTCCCCAGACGCAGGTCCCACGCGCGTCCAGCCCACGGGCACCACCGCCGCACCAGGCTTTTACTAGCTCCCGACGCGTCGCCGCCGACCACAGCACGGCTGGCGTGTCGATCCCTCCCGCTCTCCTCGCCGGATCCTCACCCACCGCGCCCCTCCCTGAATCCAGTGGGGGCAGAGATCCGTTAGCGCGAGGACTGGTCCCATCTTCTTGGGTTGGTAAGCAACCATCGCTCGCTCGCTTCAATCAAACCCAGATTCTTCTCCCGGTCCATTCGGTGTTCGCTCTGGGTAGGTGTGCTGCTAACCCGATCTGTCCGTTCATGGCTTGATTAGGGTCTTCGTCTCCAGCTGGCGAGATCGACACTGGTTGGCACTGATTGTAGCACTTCGTGGCGCCTGATTGGGTCGCGGGTGCGGATTGCCCTCCACGAATTTGGGGCTTGGTCCATCTGAACCCCCATGACCCAAGCGAAGTCCGCTCCTGGGAGGAGGGAGATGGGCCGGGGGCGGTCGCCAGAACCGCTCGATTTCTTCATATGGACTGTCGAGGTTGCTCATCTGTGTCCCCCCTCTTTTGCTTTGCTGCTGCAAATGCTTTTTTTTCTTCTTGCGGAGTCTTTATCTTGTGCATTGCCGCTACATAGTCTTTTGTTTGGGAGAATTAATTAGGACATTGGGAAATCCGTGAAACAGTGTTCTTCCTCTGACCATCATTGACTTGTTGTCAGGCTCCATGGGGAAGGAATATACTGTAGTATAACATAGTTCTAAATGTTTACCCAGTTGAGTTTCAACCATTTTGGAGTGGATTTGGTGATATTGTTGGTTATAAGCCTAGCTTTTAAGCTGTCACTTTGTTAGGCATTTGGGAAATCTAAAAAGAGGCTTAGGAACTTGATATTTTATATGCTGTTGTCCCTTTCATTTTAATGTACTGTCAGTTCTAGTGACCAGTGAGTATTGAGGTTTCAGTTATTCAATTGTTCTATGTCTTTTCCTACATGTTATTCATTAGATCTTTTTGTTTTTGCATCTTTTATTGTTCCTGGATTATTTCATCTTGGTGGCTTTGGAACTTGCACATTAGAGAGGTACTTAGTGTTATCCTAAATGCTAAACGGTAAATAGTCGGTCAACCGTAGTTTACCGTTTGTGCCATATAGTTGGTGTTTAAATGGGGTTAAACGGTCTAAACAGTTTTGTATAGTACCACTAAAATATACATATTTATGTATGTAAAATTTAAATATACAAGAAAGTATACACATTTATGTATATAAAAATATGTATTCTAGCAAATAATTTTTTCGGAAAGAACCTAAATCCCACTCCGCCTTATATATTTACAACATTGATTAGGTGAGTACTGATGTGGTAGTTGTAATCCTTCTATTGACTAAACAGTGAATTAAATATCCAACCGTTTATGCTGCTTGGACCGTTTTATGCTGCTTTGACCGTTTTAGATGGTTTAAACGGGTTTAAACAGTCCAACCGTTTAGGACCTAAACGACACGATTAGCCTTCGTTTAGGTTTAGGGCATACAGTGATCATACTATATATCCTTAATTGAATCTTATAAGCCAGTGGGGTGCTTATCCTTATCCTGATTTAAAAAAAAAAAAACTATCTATAGAATTATAAATGAGCCATTTTGAGTTTTTGACTTAGATTGTGAATTTCAACCTTACACTAAGCTCAGTTTAAGGCCTGCTAAAATATTGTTCCACATCCTACCCAACCATAGGCTTTGCAGATCTGGCCCAGTCAAAGCTTACCCTGGCCAAAGAATGATCCAAGACCAACAAGCCCAGCCTTCTCTAGCTTCATAAGACCAAATCATAGTCCAACCTGGAGTGTTTGGTGTTACTTGAATGGGCAGATTATTATTGCTTAGTCACTCAAACTTTTTTTTGTTTTATTTTACCTGATGATGTTGATGTGGCAGACAATCAAACTTTAGATAACAGATTAATATTCTGCAGCAGACAGCTCCACTTCTTAAAGATATTTGGGTTCTACTTCTTTATCTATCATATATATTGTTCGTCTGAACTTAAGTCCAAATTGGGCTTCATTGTTATGTCAGATTATTAAATTAACAGCATTAGTTTGATACTTCAATTGTCCAGTTAATACTCATATTGCCCTTGAAGTATTCTTATACATTTTCTGAGCTAGACTATACTACATTCTCAAACAGAAAGTGGTTTGGGCTGTGATTAGTCCTTGTACAGGCTAAAGCTAGGTTGGGCCTAGAAGTTCAGGTGGTGCTTGGGCTGTGTTAGATTAGGCTGCCCATGGACTGGGGTCCAGGTTAGAGTAGACCAAGGTCGAGCTGATTGTTAGGGATTGTATTGCTACAACATATATTACAATATATATGTTTTGTTTCGTTTTCTCTCATTTCTTGCCACAGCAATAGTTTTATTATTTAGTTCTTTTGATACACACACTAAATCACTTTGTAACTGGCTTGGTCTTTGAAATTTTTTGTCATTGCAAAACGTATCACTTATTATTCCCCAATTGCTTATATATTGAAATGCCAAACTAGCTGTGTCATAAATGCATTGTTGTTTTCTGTTAAAAGTCTTGTGTTGATCCTTTCTTCTATGCCTTTAAGACAGCCCTATGTTATGCTCTCTTTTCAGTTTCCTAAGTCGAATGATCTGAAGCTTGAAATTATCTGGCTTGTTTGCTTATTTGTTTATTGCACCACAGCATCTTTTGCCCAAGTACAAAAAGCTTTACATAGTTGGATAGGCCATGTGCAAGACAGATTATAGTGTCATTTAACGACCTGACATCCATATCACTGTTATTTTTTCTCCTCCTTCCCTTGGTATGTTTCTTGATTTTCATTCAGCATATCTGGTTGCAGTTTAGTACAATTTCATCTTTGAATTTCAGGAGTTTTTTTATCTAGAATCTTGTCGTATGTTAAGCTTTTATAGTTTAGAACCATATTTGGGCCAGCATAGTACTTTTAGTTTATTATGACTTCAATTTGTAGGTCCAATGAAAGAGTTCAAGGCTATATTTTCACCTCAAGATGTTTTACTATTCACCTAATAAGGTAACTATTTTCTTTCAGGATGTTGGATTATGGCTGGAAGAAATAAATCTTGGTAGCTACAGACAAGTATTTGAAGAAAACGGTGTCAATGGAGAATATCTAGAAAGCTTGTCCATGTTTACTACTGAACAGATTCTGCGCTTTATTAGGCGGTGCCATATGAAATGGGGAGACTTTATCACACTGTGCAAAGAGTTGAGGCGCATTAAAGGTTTGTATAATTATTGTTCTTGTTTAGCCTTTCACATCAAGGACTCTATCTATAACCCATTTCTTCTATGTTCTACCTTATAATAGTTGTGCTGCTCCATATGTACTCATTTTCTCATTCGGTTCCACTTGACTTTATAACAATGTGCGAAGTAGTCTGTTAAAAAGAAATTTCCGTTTCCTCTCACTGATGCATCTTTTTTGGCATTTACAAAAGCAGCCAAAATACTAGTGTTTGAAGTGGTAAAAGCTCATTGCTCGGTTGCTCAGTTATGTAGATTGGCTTAGCTGATTCTTTTGCTGAAGTTTTGTGCATATAAAGTGTCATTGCCAAGTTACCTACAGCAGTTTGAGACTTGAGTTAATCATGACTCCATTACTAAACGTATGTGGCACTACATGTGGTCTAAAATAGATATTTTAACTTCTTGCCATCAAACCTTGGAAGTTTTAACCACTATTATACATAAAATACATGTGAAATGGAAAAAATGATGTTAAGAGCTGCCACAAACAATATTGGATATATTTAGAAAAAAGAATTCTTTAGTGGTCCATTTGACAGTTGACACAATATGAACACCTTAAATGAGAACAAGTCAGACCAGGTGGGGTATTGTTCGAAGGTCAGCTATGAACTTAGGTGGTTAGGCCTCAGTATCACTCACTTCAACGAATGCAGTGCGCCTACCTAGTTATGGACTGATCTCTTCAGAAATGCTTGACTCATTGATAATGATAACATTGACGCAACAGCACTTTGAGAATAGTAGGGAGAGACTGTAAGCAAATAGGCTGTGTGATTGAAGCTACTATTTTGGTTCTTTCTGATTTGGATAGTTTCACTGTGTGACTCAAATATGTTTAGCATAGTGACTAGTGAGGTTTTAGTAAGTTCAATATATGCTGCTATTGAATATTGGATATCTTTGCCATGAACGCTAAGCACCCTTAAGTGAGTTCTTGAGTTGTTTTGTTTGTAATTTTGAGATATCATGCTTTTGTCTATATGTAATTCTTTGGAAGTCTCTGCTTGAACTCTGAACGAAGTTTGGTGTGACTAATGCTGCTTGTAAAATCCAGTCGCCTGCCTCAAAGGGGAGCAAGAAGTCCGTGAGGCCATGGTGGCACTGGCATGCCTCTCCACAGTGTTCGTGAGGGCAGCCAAGCAGAACAGGAAGTCCCGTGTTGTCTCCTTGAAGCTGGAACCATAATGCTTGTCAAGCACTTCGAATCGTCGCCTGTGCTCCTAGTCCTCCAGTTCTGTAGGAGGCAGCCTGAGCGCACATCACCATCGTGCGCTGGTCCACAGTGGCATGAATGCTGTTTTCGCTCTGGGTGCATCATGCTCTACTATGTACAACTGGTCTCTCTTAACCATTGCTAGTTGTTCTTCATATATAGGTTTGGAACAGTAATCTGTTGTAGACAAAGAAAGAAACATATACTGTGCAGATGGTCCCTGGCTCCCTGCAAGGTCTGCTCTCTACTTGCAAATCTTCCTGAGTCGTTATGGTGCATGCGATTTGCTAAAAGAATAAAAGATTGGCCAAGACCTCATTGTCCCATGCGCCTATTTCGCCACTATCTGTTGTAGGACTTAGAGCATCTATAAGAATCTTCTAAAATTTAGTTTCTAAATTATTATTTGGAGAGTTATTTGAATAAAAATTGTTTTCTATATCTGTATGTCATTAAATAACTTTTCTATCTTGTGCTTCTCTAGAGAGTCATTCTCGCCCTCTATCTTGGTAGTGAGAAATTTGGGATAGATGATATCTATATTTAGAGATCCAGTTAAAGAGGTGTTGGAATGTATGTTTAAAGGATACAGAGAGTCTCTTTGAGATCCACCCAGGAAGTCTAGACTTGTCATACATGCCTGTATTTTTATTTATTTATTTTGGTAGATAATATACTGCAAGTATTTATTTTAATGCATTTAGTGGTATATAATATACTCCTGTCGTCTCTAAATAAATCAATTCCTAGAGTTTATCTTAGGTTAAATTTCTTTAAATTTGATTGAGTTTATAGAGAAAGGGCAACGGTATTTATATCCTTAAATGAACACATTATGAATATATTTATGAATTTAGTATCATAAACTTTGATGTTCTTTCTTATAAATTTAATCAAACTTCAAAAATTAACTTAAGACAACTCTAAGAGTTGAATTATTCAGAGGTGGAGGGAATAGATCTACTGGTTTAATTTTTTAAGGTATTCATAGGGTAGGATGTGTATTATTCATAATGGGGAGTGCGCGTGTGTAACCGTGGTAAGATACTAGATTTTGAAAAAAAAATGGTTATGTGGCTATTTGTTAAGCGGTAGGCAAAATGTTTGCAGCCCACTGATCTTCCAACCACCCCTTCAACTTGACCCATGGCGGGCCAATATGTTGGTCCATATCATGTGCATGCTATTAGAGCAAGTATAATAGGAGTCTATTAGTAGCATGTATGCTGAGGCGGAAGAAAAAAAATGAGTAGAGAGAAGAAAGGTGGGCTATAAGTTTGTAGCCAGCTGAAGCACAGGAACCAATCAACTCTGAAAGGAAGGGGGTGCTATAAGTAAACCGACTATTGTATGAGTTGGCTAATAAGTGGGCTGAGGTGTGCTATAAGTAAACCAATTATTGTATGAGTAGGCTAATAAGTGGGCTGTAAGAATTCATACAGCTAGCTGAAGGGAAAGACTATCTTCTATATACATGATTTTCCATCATATACAACTTTAATGTTGCATCTATTCGATGCTATTACTATCAGCATGTTCGTTTGTTGGTTTCAGTCAGGGCTTATCAGTCAGCCAATAGTATTTTTTTCTCACAATAAACCAGCAACAACCAGACGTATCAGCCCAGAAACCTCAACAAACAGGCCGTATGAAGGATTCTCTTCTACTTCCTTTATCCAATAAAAAGTATAATTCTTTTCTATATCTTGTAAGCACTCTAAAGAGTGAGGGCTGGTTTAGTTCCCAAAAATTTTCATCCCGAACTATTATATCAAATCTTGCGGCACATGTATGGAGTATTAAATATAGACGAAAAAAACTAATTGCACAGTTTAGTTGGAAATCACGAGACAAATGTTTTAAGACTAATTAGTCCATGATTAGCTATAAGTGCTATAGTAACTAACATGCGCTAATGATGAATTAGTTAGGCTTAATAAATTCGTCTCGCAGTTTCTAGGCGAGCTATGTAATAAGTTTTTTTTATTAGTATCAAAAAACCCCTTCCAACATCCCCGAAACATCCGATGTGACATAAAAAAAAATTCATTTCGCGAACTAAACACGCTGAGTCTCATTCTCTATCTTTGGCTAATTAAAGTTGTTGTTGGAGTTTTTTTCACCAAAATTTCCTATCAAGAATATAGAAAACCTCTCGCAATCTACTATCCTAACTCCACTACATGATTTTCCTACAATTTCGTGAAGCCACGTCAGCGAGGCCTTTAATCGTTGCTTTGCCTCTCCAGATCGGAACATCAGTTTCACGCAAGCACCATCTCTCCCATCCTTTATTTAATACTCAATCCATCCTAAATTATAAGACGTTTGACTTTTTTGACATCAAGTTTGACCACTCGTCTTATTCAAAAATTTGTGTACAATATCACTTCTTTCGTCGTGGTTTGGTTTATTAATAAAAATTCTTCAAAAATGACTTAAATTTGACTATATTTATACAATTTTTTTGAATAAGACGAGTGGTCAAACTTAAGGCCAAAAAAATCAAACGTCTTACAATTTAGGATGGAGTAATATCAAACCATGATCCGTCTCTTTAAAGTCTTCTACAGATCGAGGCCGCACCCACCGCTTCACTTGCCAGTAACAGCTCCACTCAAGTTCTAAGGCTGGGTGTGTTTAGCTGGATGAATTTGGAAATTTGGGTTACTGTAGCACTTTCGTTTTTATTTGACAATTAGTGTTTAATAATGGACTAATTAGGTTCAAAACGTTCGTCTCGTAATTTTCAACCAAACTGTGCAATTAGTTTTTTTTCATCTACATTTAATGCTCCATACACATATCGCAAAATTCGATGTGATAGATACTGTAGCACCTTTTTGAATTTGGGGTCCCAACCAAACACGCGCTAATAAACACGGCCAGCAATCAACGTAAAAATCAAGAGCCACGTGGGTCGGATCAACCAGGCCGACCAATAACAATCAATGCAATAAAACGATGAGTCTCCATACTCATGGCTTTAAATCACGACCACGCGGGGACGTGTGGCCGACGCCGCCGCGCAGGAACTTGAGACCGCTTCATCCTCAGGCTGCTGCCCGACGTGGACCGCGCCTGCAGCGGGAGGCCGCGGGGGAGGGCGACCAGGGCGGGGAGATGTGCGTCATGGGCGCGGGCTGCCATGGGCGCGGAGCAGGAGGTCGAGGATGGAGGGCGCATTGGCGTGGGGACAGTAGGGGCCTCCCTTGGCGCTCGCCGTCTATCCCTGCACTACGCCTCCTTGACTCCTTCACCGAAGACTTCGACCCCAACATGCGAGGCTAATACGTCTGCAGCCACCTCCTCTCCGCCACCGTGACTCCGTGAGGTGAGGCCGTGAATCCCGTGATGGCTCTTCAGTTCTGAACCGAGATGTCGAGGAAGCTTCTGCCGGGTGTAGTAGTACGGGAGCGGCGGAGGATACGCGGGAGGGGGACGAGTGAAAAGAGAGATCGTCCATGTATCTGCGCTGCGCGTGTATTACTGCTGATTTTCCTTTTTTAGGTACGACTTTTTTTTTTACATTTTTTATGAGACATGGATGATGCGTGAGGTGCCTCCTCCACTGACTACCCATGTTTCTAACTCGAAAGTACTCATTTCGTTCTAAATTATAAGTTATTTTAACTTTTTTTTTGGTACATCCATTTTGCTATGCATCTAGATATAATAATATGTCTAGATATATAACAAAATGTATGAAAAAAAGTCAAAGCGGCTTATAATTTGGAACGGAGGAAGTAGTACTCGGTAACCTGGCACAGGCCAATACATGAGCTCCAATTTCCCTACTCTTCGGAAGTATGTATATAGTGCTATTTCCATCGAAAGGAAATGACAACCGAAATAATGTCACTTTTATACATTTTCTTTTATTTTTCTCCAGTACTATTTTTAAACTAAATTGTGATAAGTTTTTTCAGTAGTCTTTTAGTGGACCGGTAAAATAGTTGTTACTCTGTCATATTCACACTTATGTTTGTCTATCTTTGTCTCTCAAGTTCCGTGACAAAGCATTATAATGTTGTTATTAGATAGTACTATTAATCCTCCTCACGTTTCCCGCGGCAAAACGAGGAGTATCCGAGCAATATCTTGGTTGGCTGTGGCTTGTCGTAAACGATCGTAAATTTTCAGCCGGAACAATATTTTTCTCTCACACAAACCAGCCAGCAATACTTCTTCATGAATCAGCAACGATACGAACCAGCCAACCGAACATGCTGTTAAGCGATGTCCAGAAACTTCTACGCTGAATTTCAAAAAAAAAAACTTCTACGCTAAAACATCAGCCAAAGCGTGGCATAAACTCACTCACAGCTTTCTACCACATGGGCCAACGGCTCATCGCCAACCCTTGCGAACGGCGTTCCCATCCAGCGCCTTCTACAGGAGCAACCCGCCATCAAGAGCAGCAACACGTGCACGACTTACTTTACTGACCTGTGGGCCACACCCCATCTAAACCTCCCGACGGACCCACATGTCAATTCCTGCTACGTACACCTGCTAGTGGTCGCAGCATTTCTCGCAGCCTGAGGCTCCAGAACCTTCTCCACAAACTGCTAAATGCTAAACCCTTGTTTAGTTGGACCCCAAAATTCAAAAAGTTGCTATAGTACCTGTCACATCGAATGTTTACGGCCCGTGCATAGAGCATTAAATGTAGACGAAAAGAAAAACTAATTGCACAGTTTGGTGGAAAATTACGAGACGAACGTTTTAAACCTAATTAGTCAATGTTTGGACACTATTTACCAAATAAAAACGAAGGTGCTACAGTAACCCTAAAATCCAAATTTCGCGAACTAAACAAGGGCTAAATCCACCACCAATTCAATCCTCCGTTCCACTACTCACCCACTGACAACCCGACCTAATCGGTGGGCCCGAATTGCCAGCGACTAAACCTCCTCCCATCTTCTTGCCCCACAAGGCGCACGCCATTTATACGCCTTCCTCTCTC